GCTTTGTGTGCGGGATGGTTGGCTCCTTTTGTAGCCCGCCTCGGCCTGCCCCGGAGAGGGAGGGAAAAACGAGAGCGAGGGGCTGGAGGCAGCTGTCACTTAACATGTGAATATTCGGGAGCAGCCTGGGGGTCTTTAGAAAGCTTTTTTATCCTCCTCGTTTTCATTTGAAGCAGAGTTTGTGAGCCAAAAGAGGAGCTGGGGGAGGGGCTAACGCTGTGAGGGAAAGAGGGAGGTGAAGGGACTGCTCCTCTATCTAAAGGTCTGGCACAAGAGTTCACACAACAGGCTGCCGACTTACGGACCTGCCTTAACTCTTCCAAAACCACCGGACGGGGAACACCTGCTATCCTGGAGCTCGGAAAACACAGCATACAGGACTTTTCCAGCAGCTGAACATCCCGTGGGTTGCCTCAGCAAGGAATTCCTCCTCTATGGGACTGGGCACAACAAAGGCAAGAGAGAGAGAATACCGCTGACGGGAGGGGGCAGCCGGAGGGAGAGAGGGACATTGTTTGCTTGTGGCTGTGGGCGACGGAAAAGCATGGGTCATCTTGCATAAAGTGTGTGTGTGTGTGTGTGTGTGTGTGCGTGTTTAAACCGGGATTTGTGAGCAAGTGAATGTGAAGGTTTTCGCATGTTTATAAGGCTGGAAAGGAAGGCCTCTCAAAGGATGCTGAGAGAAGACAGGTTTTTTGTTCTCCCGTTTGAATGATGACGGAGGAACTTGTGGAATTGTTCGTTTGGCCGTTTGTCCTCCTCTATGCACGGGGGTAAGTATGCACCCCAACCGCCACAACCGCCACCTCTTTCTGGACTCATTCAAACTTCCTCACTGAAACCAGCAGCTGCTTTGGATGCAGCCAGACAGTGATGCTATCAGAACCACTGAAATTTCACTGAAGGCGATTGTGGCACAAATTTGGTACGGGTAGAAACAGCTTGCGAGGATTTGGATGTAATTAGCTCATTTCACTGTACTGTGAGTATCTATTTATCTAGTAATATTATATTATATATATATATTATATATTATAATATATCATTGCTATTGAAGTTAAATATATAATATAATTGTATATTCTTGCCCGCAGTTTCTTTATTATTATAAACTTTTAGAACTGAATCAATTTGTGTACTAACATGTTGCCTAACATATAACATCAGTTCAACTAAAATATAGTATATTAATTATGCAGTTTATTCATGTTTATGCATTCACGTAACACCAGACACTCTTATGTTAATTAGAGAAATCATGATCACTGCACAAACTCACCTACACAGAGAGCGTTGATTTATGACTATTAAGAAATCCATAAAAGACATAAGTACATCCCAAGAGAGCCACCACTCTCACTGCTCCATATGCGAGTTAATCCACCAGCGGAATGTGGCATGACACCAGTATACACCGTCTGTCTGCCATGTTGAGGTCAGATTAGGAAAGGGTATTGTCATGGTGCTCTCTGACAGTACCCACACCCATTGCTATGACAGGCAGAGGCGAGCATCTCTGCCGCCTTTATTTGATTGACATATCATTCATTAGAATATGACAAGAATCTTTCCGTTTGAGTCAGTTGTTGTCAGAGATTAGACTATATTAATCATTCTTTATGGATTGTTGATGCACAAAGCTGTCCATCACAGGGGTTAATCTAGCTCACTGGGGGCCAGTCTGTGACATGCCTCATAAATCAATATCAAGAGGCTACACAGGGTGGTCTTAAATCAGACAATACATTAGAGTTGGGTTAAGAGGGCGGTTGCTTCTTGATAAACAAGCAAAGGAGAATCAATCTGTATCATTTATATCAAGCTTTAGACAATTACATTAATTTGTTCAGTCACTGAACTGGTCACCATCACACTTTATGTTTTGTTTTGGAGATCGGTGGATCTTAGTGTGCTGCTACAACAAGGTTTCTTGAGTAGCTTAACCAGCAAGACCTCAATGGTCAAACAGAATCACCAGAAAACCTTGCAGATTGACCAACATCACTAGCTCAGTTTTACACAGCACCAAACAAACAACATCCACAATACACCAGCCTGGAAATTATACTATGCCCTAAGCTGGTGTTTTGAGCAGGGGAATTCGCTCATTTAGACGATCGGATGCAGAAGATGGCATCACCTCTATTGAAATGTTTAGCATTGAGGTGTAAAATGTTGTGTCACCTCTTACTCCGTGGAAACAGCCATTGCAGGTGTAATAATGCTTGTAAATCTTTATATTCAAATGGCTGTAGCTTCAGTGTAAACTCCTTCCCATCCTCCTTGTGTAATCCATCAAGGATGTAGGCTGGGCGTGAGATGGATGGAATGAGTAAATATAATTAAACTTGATTTGAGGAAGAGCATTTGTCGACAGTGATATTGTTCAGATTGATTACATAGATTGTATGTGCTCACTTTATGGAAACCAAATGAAGAAAAATCTTTCTTTTTAATATTCACCAGTATCTCTGCTGTAGTGTTGCAAATATATGAACAATGAGAATAAATAAAGCTATTTCATAGAGATCTTAGTAATTGTTTAACTTAATCAATTTATAAGCTAGCGTCCAGAGCATCAAACTCATCATTACAGTATTTCCTGTCATGTCTTAACAATCTCAATTCATACATTACACAAGCTAATCCACCCTGCTAGAATGTGGGCTGATACTAAGTCTTCTGCTCCAGTGATCTAGAAACACTGAGTCTGTCTGCTGTCTGGAGCCAGATCCCTCAGCACTCGCCATTAGCATGCAGTGAACCACAATGACCTGGAATCACCTGTGCAATTAACATGCATGCTTAGCTGAATTCAACAGAGCTCTGTATTTCCTGCACAAACAAAACCATCAGCCCAAAGGTTAACGTGTCATTGCATTCTTTAAGATAAAAGGTATGCACATTTGTTAGGTTTAAAACAAAACAGGTTTTGTACCATTTAGATTTTTTTGTGTTTTTATCTGCTTTTATCTATAAGAAAAACAAAATCAGAAATGAGATCTGTTTAATTGTTTCTCTTAGACAGGAATGAGATTAAACAGAGAGCAAATGGAGACTTTTCTTAGATTTTTCTCTTTCAAAACAGACCCCAGTAATCTCACGTCTCCTGTAGTTTCAGAAGAGATCTCAACAAAGACACAAACTTTGCGCAGACATTATGCAATTACCAGTCAGAGATTTCAATATGCACATATTGTACATCTGCGACAAAGTAGATAAAGAAAGTAGTGCTGTCAAACGATTAATTGCAATTAATCGCATCCAAACTAAGTTTTTGTTTACATACTATATGTACAGTATGTGTACTGTGTTTATTTATTATGTATATATAAACACACACACATACAGTATATATTTTGAAAATATTTACATGTATATCACAGGTATATCACACAATATATTATTATATTATATATAAATATATTTAATATATAAACAGCATATTTTCTTAAAATATATTCATGCATGTGTTTGTATTTGTATATACAGTACATAAATATACACAGTATACACTCATATATTATGTACACAAAAACGTTTATTTTGGATGTGATTAATCATGATTAATCGTTTGACAGCACTAAAGTAATCTTTCTTCACTTAACAGCTGCATATTCACTTACCACCTGCAATCTTCAGGCAGATTCTATGAGCACTGAAATAGCACTGTTGCATGTTTTTTTTATTAATTATGTAATCCACACAAAGCAGCCTGTTATCTTTTATTTTACAAATATGTACATTTCCTATTCATCTGTGGCCTGTCACGAAGCGAGATGAACAATCTCAGAGTTGCAGAGTAATAAACACTTACATACTGTATATATATTTAATTTAATTTAAATACAAAGCTTAAAATTAATTGCCACTTCATATAATAATTATATGAATATATTATATGAATTATAAACAATTACAATTAATATAAACATAATTAAATAAGTAGCTGCAAAAGTCGGGCAATTTGTCTCTAAAATTCTTTGACAGTAAACTGCTTTAATTTGGAGTGAGAGATATGAGGGAGTTGCTTCATTGCATCAGATATATGTCACTTTGCTCACAGCTGATTGGTCCAGGTTCGGTTTGCGATCTCTATCCCAGAATAAAACCTGCTCCGGAGCAGGGTAGCTGTGTAGCATAAGTTACCATGGTGACGAAACCCACTCAGAACCAACCCATCTTCTTGTGCCCAAAAACTCAGAGTTTGCTCAAACTAAACGTGAACTTACCTGGGTAAAACTGAATCCGGCTTCGTGCTACAGGCCACAGGACAGTAATTTAGTCAACGATGATCACTGGTAAAGGCCTGCATGAATTTCAACCACAGACATTCACCTTAAGTTGAAAAAATATCTCTAAAAGGGTTTCTGAACATTAAACTCGGTGTGTGTCTACGTGTTCATCGCTGTCCTACTCCTCAGGCATGTGGTCTGTGTTTCCCAGTAAACCATGAACACGTGCACTAAAAAAAACAGTGTTCATTCTTCTGTGGAAAAGAAATGAAGCAGCATTTCCATGCCTGTCATATTTGATCAGGAGCTAAATGGTTTCCCAGGGCCACCCTGCGGATAGTCTTGGCAGAGGACAGTGGCTGTGACTGCCAGGAGGAGCTGTGGGTATCCTGGAGGAGACTGCCCTCATAAACAGGCTTGTCAGTTGCATTTGTATGGATAGTACTAGCAATTCTGTGTTCATGTTGTAGTTTTCCAGCAGTAATCTGGCCCCTCTTGGTCAGGACACAGCCTCAGTCAAGTGTTACCATCTCTGCCGTATAAATAATGACGGTGGTGTTTGTTGGCATGAAAGTGGTAAAAGACTCTCCTGTGTAGGACAGCAAGGAATCTAATTGAGGTTTATGCATAGTGGTCTTTGTCAGAGCTGGATGAATCTCTTTTGAAGACTGCAGTGGAAACTGGAAACTAATAGGCTACTATTTCCTTGAAAGGGTATAGATGTTTAAAGAGTATCTTCTGACTTTGACCTTCCTTGTGTTGTAGGTAGTTTAGGCGATGCCTGTATGTATGGCACAGGGACCCAATTAACCCGTGGATTGAAGAATCATGGGTAACCTCATTAGCAGACCTAGCTGTTTGGGACAAAAGTCCAAACAAGTTAAGTCAGAGGACAGCGTCTTCAAAGAGTGCTACCAGCAACAAAGAGAATGGCTGCTCCCAGAGCCTCCTAGAGAAGAAACAAGGAAAGAGAATGTGGAAGAGGTTCTTCGACAAACTCCAACACCGGACAAGCAGAGGAGTTCCCCAGCCCCTACTGTCACTACAACCAGCACTCTGGACAATGCCTGGCGAAGCACTCCGTCCCCGGTAAAAACACCACGAAATGGGTCTTTGCCCAGAATGTGTAATATTCCAGAGTACAGAAGATCCCCCCTGAGTCAGTATGGATCCGTGGACAGGAAAGCCAGCCTGCAGAGAAAGGATTCTGGAAGTCCCTGGTCCTGGAAGCCTCTGAACACTCGAGAGGTTACTGAAGTCACAGAGGTGACAGAGACTATTGTTACCGAGATTGTAGAGGTGACAGAGTATCCTAGTGCGGGGAAAGGAGGTGACCCTATTGTTACTAGAACTGTTAGAGTCCTTACTGGAGCTGCTGAGGAACTTGCAGAGGTTATTCAATTTAATTTACATTTATTTTAAATGTAATGTTTTTCTTTCTTTTTTATTTTTTTTACCATCATTTACCATTTTTTATTTAACTGATTTTGAAGTCAATGTATCACCAATGTTTGACCAATTTGTTAATTCAATTCTCACAAATATACAGCTGCAGAGTGATGGTCAATCAAGTTCAGACCAGGAATCAAGTCTAGATCAATGGAAGGTACAGTATACTGATCTTTCCTTTACCTGTACTTTCTCTATGAAAACGTGATAGCATATTGTCTGGTCTTATGTTAAGGATGGCAGAAGTGTTTTGGCTCTGAAAGATGAGTTCAGGGATCCGCTGAAATTCCAGCAAAATCTGGAAATGCTGCTGACGTGGGTCTGCGAGATTGAGGAGCTGACAGCCAATCAAAAACCACCATCCTCAGAGTTTAAAGTGGTGAAAGCGCAGCTACAAGAACAGAAGGTATGTTAAAAACCTTTAAAAATAGTTAAGTTGTTGCTATATAAACAAACAAACAATAAACTAATACATTAATATTTACATAAACTATTGATAAAAAAGGCTACCCAATTTTAAAGCCTTGTCATGTAATTTCTAATCCCATCCTTAAACTTTTCTTGAACTGAGAAGCATACTGTGTAAATTCATGCATATAATAAGCTTTGAATGCCTTTGTGTATGATATGGGAATGGGTGGGGGGAAAATAATTAACCTTTTTGAGATCTTTGTTAGCTTAGTGAGTAAGGTAAAACATACCTGAATGGCCACAATGATCCTCTGACACATGATACAAGTGTTTGGCTTAAGTACCACAAAGAGAGAACAAGGTGCATTATAAAGCTTGTAGATTCTCAGAAGGAGCAATACCTCTATGAACCAAACGTGTATTTGCTTCCTCATACAAAGCATCTTTGAAGATGCAAAAGGGGGTGTTCTACAAAACTGTATTAGGAAGGCAATTCCCAACATGTCCTCCAACTGTATAGGTTGTTTGCCGCTTCCCTGAAATACGACCCATCAGAGCGTCTACTAAATTTGCGCTTCTATCGACAACAGCACACTTTCATATTAATGCATTGTACCCTTTTATTTGTGTTTTGTGTAGCTCAAATGGTAGCGCATTGCTTTATGATGTGATTATGGGTTCGATCCCAGGGAACGCACATTCTCATAAAATGTATATGCACTATAAATCAGTTTCCAACACATCGCCAAATGCATTCATGTAAATGTGTTTTGAGAAATGGAAATGAGACAAATGGTGGGTAAGGGACCGTATATAAAGTCCACACATTGCCTTTAAATTAACACACAATTTGACTGGTCATCATGACAGTATTAGTCAGTATTAGTCATGACAGCAGACGCAACACAACAGTCATTATTTTTGCGTCAGCTAAAGGGCGCTTAATTTTAAAACTTAAATATAGGTCGTAATAAGTTGCTTGCACCAGTGTTGCCGACTTAGTGACTTTGTCGCTGGATTTAGCGACTTTTCGGTCCCCTTTAGCAACTTTTTTCCAAAAAAGTGCCTAGAGACAAATCTAGCGACTTCTTGGACAAACCTTGTTTAGAAACTGAATAAGGTTTGTCCAAAAAGTCGCTATATTTGTCGCTAGGCAGCCAGTACTGCTGCACGAGGTCTTGCTTTGCCAGCACGCACACACATCTGCGTCTGTTCTGTTTAGCAAGCAGCTGGGAGGAGCAGTGCTTTCAGTTAAAAATATATATTCTGTTGCTTCGAACTCTATTTTACACACAAACATAGCCGAAATCACAGCACAGCCATTGTCTTTTATCGTATGTGTATTTGATTTCATTAGATGACGGCTCGATTATAAATCAGGATTTTTGTGCAGATTACATCTTGGAAGGGAGAGCTGGTTATGGAGTCTTAATGGGCCACTTTTTAGTCACTATTTCATATTTATCCCATTGTCTGACAACAGAAATAGAAATATATACAGTATTAATGAAAACAATTTTATTGAGAATTTGGCTGCATTAAAACAGTTTGTGAGCACAGAGAGGCAAACAAATGCAAAAGGAAATATGACACAATGAGGTTGTTAATATGCTACTTTGTGAATGACGTCATCTAGCGACATTTAGTGACTTTTCAAGCGGGCTTTAGCTACTTTCAGTTGAGAAAAGTTGGCAACACTGGCTTGCAAAAACAACCTATTGGGTCGTTTTTTGGAGGAGGACAGTCTCCCCACTGTTCTGCAGAGTTTAACTACAACCCTAATCAAACACAACTGAACAGCTAATTAAGGTCTTCAGGATAACTTGAAAAATCACATGCCAGGTGTGCTGAAGCAGGTTGGAGATAAAGTTGCAGGACAGTGGGTCCCCAGAAGCAGGGTTGAAGGGTTGACCTAGGAGCAGTGTTGATCTAGACATCACCAAGACCAGGGGTGCTTCTCATTTCTTATTTGTGCATCGTCGTTTCCTTTCCTCATTACCTTTCCTTGCGTCTTAGCTTAGGCTTCACTACGCTGAATAAACAGCTTTTTAGAGGAAACAGCTTGTCATTTAATGAATCCACAGCCTATCGGCTAATCCTCAACATGTTTTACACTAAGCAATACTTTTGGATTGAGCTATTTTTAGAGTTTACACCGAAAAAATGCCATTTTATAAGAGAAGTCATTGACTTTTTGCGACAGGTGGGATTCTGCTTACGGCATTTCTCATTCATTCCTATGGTATCTGTAAACGGCGATTGAGTGTCGCACAACTCTGACTGAAATTCAGTGATGTCAAGGCTATAATGTGATTGGTTATTACGGCACACGTGATCCAAGTTAGCCATTACGCTTTCTCCAATAGTAAGTAATACAGACCCTCTTATCTCCCTATATTAATACAATCTCTGGCATCAGTTTGAATATTGAGAAGCATCCCAGGATTGAGAACCACTTGCTTGCAAGCCCCTGCCCTTGGAGGAAGCATAATAAATTCCTTCAGCATAATAAACATAATACGTTTCTTGCCCTGCAGCTCTTACAGCGCCTCCTAGAGGACAGGAGACCAAGTATGGAGACCATGATGCAGGAGGGTCCACACCTGGCAGAGGGGCTTCAGGGACATGACAGTGAAAAGACCAAAGTGCAGCTTGCACAGCTCGAGCTCAAGTGGGAGGCTCTACTTCAGGGTGCCAACAGCAGGTCAGTCTGGTTGACACATTGGTCCACATTTTGGTCCCAGGAAGACCCACGTAGTTGGGGCTGTTTGACCGACATAAAAGAGCCAACCACAACTTTTTTACCTGATGCTTTGGGTGGGTAAATCTGATGTTAGTAATGTAATGTGTTTTGTTTTGACAAATAATTTGTTTTCACAGACACAGGACTCTGGAGGACATTCTGCCAAGAGCTCAACTATTTCAGGAGAGGACAGACAGACTTCAGCAATGGCTTATATCTGTGGATCAGGACTTAGCTGAGCTGCGCTCTGCAGAGAGAGGGATGCTCCATCTGCAAGAAGCCACAGGACAGGCCACGGTCAGTAAAACATTACAAAATGTTTTGTTTATCCGTTAATAAATTTGTATGCTACAAGATTTCAGTGTGTAACGAAATTGCCTTTCTCTATCACCTTTTAGGCAGTCATGGAAGAGATAAAAGCTAAGAGTGTCAACCTGGGGAAACTCCAACAATGTGCTCATGAGCTCATGGAGAAGATTTCAGGTGGTGTTTCCTCCCATTTTGTGTCATTGCATACACTAAACCTTGCACAGTGCCCACAAGGACATGTTTCAAACATGTTTCAATCTTTCACATGCTAATCTAAAGAGGAGGAAACCCAGCTGGTGCAGGAGCGGGTAGACAGTCTGCGTATCCGGTACTCAGTGATGAGTCTGGGTAGTGCTGATGTCCTGCAGAGGCTGGAACAGGCTTTGGAGGCATCTAGTCGATGTACCTCCAGTCAGGAAGACCTCCACCTGTGGCTTGGTCGAATCGAGAGAGAGCTGCTGGCTCCTGCTGCCCAGACTGAGACTGGAGATGCAGTCTTGTGTTCTTCTGAGAGGCAGAAGGTAAGAGACAGGTGGATACCTCAGGTTGCTTGAAGTGTACTGTAAGTCATTTTGGATAAATACAGCTGCTAAATGCCTGCTTACCTATCAGCCTGTTTGCATTTGATCAGCTGGAACAGGCTGTTGAGAAAGAGTTGGCTTGGTTTAGAGACACCTCACTGGCACTGGAGGAGCTCAGAGCCATTAATCTGGACCCAGACATCATTGCATCCAAGCTCAATGAGCAGAAAGTGAGTTTTTGCACATTCACAATGATGTTCTCTGTGCATATACTAGAAATTCTGTAAAATTCTTTAAAATAATCAATATGATGTCTACGTTTTTCTGCAGATACTTGCTGTGGAGATTCTGCAGCACAAGTTTAACATTGAGAAAATGGTGAAGATTTTGGAACTCCTGCAGATGTACACTGAGGATGGGGAGACACTGAGACTCCAGGTAAGCTAATATTCATTCTTAATACCTTTTGAAACATTTTCCATGACATAAGAACCAACATAATACTACTGTCTTTTCCCCTCCAAAGTCTTCCCTGGACACCTTACAGGAGCAGTGCCAGGTCACTACTGCCACTAATTCCCAAGTCTTGCTTCAACTGGAGCATGCTCAGTCGCTCTTGTCTCAGTTCTCAGAGGGCTATGCTGAGGTGTTACCATGGTTACAGGAAACCAAAGCCCTTATTTGCCAGTTTACCCTAAACACCATCAGCTACGAGGCTTTCCGAGAACAACAGGACCTCTTACAGGTACTTAAAAATTTGCTTCTTCAGAGCAAGATATTAACAACAGATGCTCATGTTTGGCCCACATTTGCTATAGTACAAGTTCAAGTTCAAACACATTAGATTTTAATAGCCATCACACTGTATTAAATATATTAACTTTGTATTGCAATTATATACTTCATTAGTTGTTTCAGATAAAGTAATACAAACATCAATGTTTGATCATGTTGCTGCATAATGTCCAAACAGGGCATCAGGGAGTCCATAGCAGAGCATAAGCCACTGATAGCACGGCTGATCATGCTGGCCCAGCGTCTATCAGACCTGAATGCAGTTCAGGGAGAGGAGTTCTGCCAGAAAGCCAGGGACACTGAAGAGCAGCATCTGGCCATCAGAGACAGGGTCCGAGAAGCTGCTGGAGTACTGGAGGAGTCTCTGCCCCGCTATACACAGGTGACACACATGTAGATTCGATGCTGATTCCGGGTGCATATGATAAAATATTTTATTTATCCTATAGAAAACAATTGTAGAAGTAGTTTGAATGCTGTAAAAGCTGATGTGTTTTGAAGGCCTCATAGCCTACATGACTGTGAGAGAAGTCACACGGGAAAGAATGGGATTTTGGCTGACGTTGCTTGTGGATGGCATCCGCGGTGATACTAAGTTGCTCTTTTGGACCACATGGCCTTCAACATGTTCTTTGGATAAACATGATGAGGCAAATACACCAAATAGTCACTTTGTGATATGTTTTGACATAGGCTAGTTGACAGTCTGCCACCCTTACAAGAGAACAAAAGAGCAATTAATGAGGTGAAGAGTTAGGGAGTATTGGGAGGAGAACACCTGCAATAAGATCATTGGTTGAAAACTGTAATAAAGGTTGAACTGTGAGTGAGTCAGATGTTCTGCAGAGGTCTCAGATGTATTGTCTTCTTGCAGTAAAGTAAAGAAACTTCTTCAGCATTATTTTGCAAGACAGAGAAGACTTTTCTCCATAACACATACTGGAGAATCCAGCTTAATCGGCTTCTTATGGTAGTTGGTATAACATGGTTTGTAGTTATAAATCAGAGGTTCTTAAACTTGAATAAATCAGACCTTCACAGAGGGGACCTACTTTTGATGAATGCCCCAAAACTCCATTGTAGATGCTGAGACTAGTGTACTGGACACTTTGAGAAGGTTTAAAAGATTCACCTGTTATTTAAAGCTTTTTCATAACTTACAGTATATCAGTTTATACCGTTCCGGGGATTTGAACCCATGAACTTGGTGTTGCTAACGCCGTGCTCAGCTGAACTACAGGAATGCAACCCACTGATGCTCTACACTGATATAACCTGTTTTCAAAGAAGCCATATTTATGTTGCTAAAGTGGTATAGAAAGACAACATTGCCACATTTTAGCTGCATAAATGCTAGCTCACTCCTGAAACTCTGTATGTCCATGTCAGCTGAATGAGAGGATGACTCTGATCGGAGAGAGAGTGGAGCGTCTGTGTAGTCACCTGCAGGCCTCAATGGCTCTTCAAGGCCTCTCCCCACGAATTCAAGAGCAGCTACAGGACAACAAGCACACATTGTCTGAGCTCTCAAAATTGGATCTGGACCTCAGCAGTGTGAGGACACAGGCTCAGGAGCTCCTGACCAACACAGGGGCTCTTGGGGACAGTTCCATTGGCACAGGTACCTCAAAACATGAATCGCATACATATTCTGGCACATACAGCTTTATATGCTAAAACATCTCATAAACACTATTGTTTCATAAGCATGGTCTATCTATGATGATCCTGGCAATTTCAGCTATTCAAGACCGGGTTTGCAGTCTAACAAGCCGCTGGGAGGAGGGTCAAAGACAAGCTCAGGAGAGGGAGAAGTGGCTTCTCAATCTCCTGGATCTGGCAGTCAGGTTCTGGAATGATGTGAGTGACATGACATCTGGACTGAATGATGCCCAGCAAGCTGTTCTGGACCTCAACTCCAGTCGATCAGATTCAGAAACCATCCGACAGAGCCTGGAGACCATGCAGGTAGGCTACAAAAATGATACTGTGGTCAATATTTCTCTGCTCTATGCTGGTCCAGGCTGGCCCTTTCTGGTTTAGTGCTGGTCTAGCTGGTGAACCAGAAATGCTGGCGAAGCTGGTTGACCGATGTAATATTGCTAGTTTTACTTAGCAGCTTTTAGAAGTACATCCAATGTTTTGGACCAGCGTCCAAAACAGAACACATGCTCGTTACCTGGTTTTGTTCTTTCAGCAGGGTTATTTAAGAATATTTCCTCATTGCGTCCTGAAAGTTTTGAATTAACGCAATGCCTCATACCATTAAAACTCTCTTATCCTTCCTTCTCAGACACTCAGGGAGGACATTGATTCTCTGCAAGGTGACCTGGACACACTAGGAATTCTGGGAATGGAACTCATGTCAGCTTGTGGTGACACAGACAAGCCAGAGGTTACCAAAAATTTGGATGAGGTTTGTATTTGAAACTGAAATTAGACTAATCCTCGCAGAAACTGTTGTACATCATGCAGTCATTTGTTCACATCTCACTATCCAGCTGTCTGTTTCTGCAGCTTTATGGCACATGGAACAATCTCAGTAAGATCTGGACAGAGTGCAACAGTAAGTTAGAAGAATGTTTACGAATGGCTCTCCATTATCAGGACAGTATGCAGGTGAGTTAGTTTCAATTCCTTTCAAGGCATTCCTAATGTAGGTTGAATATACATCCTCATTTTTCCAGATTGGACATGTCCTGGCCAGGATTTCTAAAATGTCCAGGTTTTGGCTTTATTTTCCTTTGTTTGATGTTCTCTCTACTGTCCTCATAAATTTTATGCATGCATATTTGCATTGCTTTGACCGTTCTCTGTTGATCACACCTTCTCACACGCCATGATTGGTCGATTGTGTACAATGCCTACATGCTATTGGTCAAACTACTTTTCAGTCATTACCTTCAGCAAGTATGAAAACAACAGGAAAACAAAGCCAAAACCCAGACATTTTAGGCAATTTAGAAAAAGTACGTATGGTCACCCTACCTAATGAAGTTTGTACTTACTGTAGAAAACTTCCAAACACAATCTGTTCGTTACTTTTTCTATCTTGTCTCATCCATTGGTGGTAGGTCTCTGTCTACAGTTGTAGTATTTCCACATGCATGCCTCTATGTGGTTGTAGTGATGAGTCTCTAACAGACTGGCCAATTTCCTGCCAATTGGCAGGACTTTTGGATGCCCTTCTAGAGACACCAAAGCTAGCCATAGAGAACTTGGATTAAAGTCAGCATATTTCAGCGAATTCTCTTCTTGGTTGCACTGACTTCATGGGACAATGGAAGAAATTGACAATGTGCACTTATGAATATTCATATACTGTAGAGTGGATCAAGAGAACACTACAAAAGCAATCTTAAAAATATGTCCTTCTCTTGAAGGGACTCTTTGAGTGGCTGAAGTCTGCAGAGCTGAAATCCACCGAGGAGTTCTCAGTGGGATCTGACCTGGGATCAGTTAAAGAGCAGCTATGTGACCTGAAGGTTAGACCTCACAAACTTACCTTGAGAAACTGAAAACTGTGTCACAAACAAATTAGTGGTGATTCCATCACCTCTCCTTTCAGGAATTTAAGCGAGAGCTCTATCAGAAGAAGATCGAGATTGAGAGTCTAAACCATCGCTTTGTGTGTCGCCTTTCCCCGGGCACTGAGCGGCCTGGGTCCATCTCTCCACTGAGTGACTTCCGTCAGCGATGGGACAACTTGGAGTCAGAGACTGTCAGCAGACAGGTAAAAGCTCAGCTAAATGGAAAAAAAAATACTGTTTCATCATAATGATACTTCAACAAGAGCACTGTGTTTTCGAGCAGCACCAGTTGGAGTGTGCACTGCTGGGCTTGGGTCAGTTCCAGAACACTCTTGATGAGTTGCACGCCTGGCTCTCCCACACGGCTGACCTACTGCAAGCCTCTCAGTCAATAAGCATTGACCTGCAAACCTGTGAGATAGAGCTAGCCAAGCACAAGGTACAAACACAAACTCTAAGGCACTCATTGGCACATTCTTGTCAATGTTGTGTCCTCACTTTTGCAGTGATTTTTGCTCATTTCGAATGAAACGCTAGTGTACTGCTTACTGAATGCTGCATAGATCTACTGTCTCCCAACTAACAAGGAATGTTAGTACCTAACATTCTAGCAAGGTTCTCTCAAAGTTATGAACAACAGTTCTACAACAGTGCAACAGTTTATTTCAGAAACGTTTTAGTTGGATGTTCTAGCATTTTTTTAAATGTTCCTACTTGCTTAAAAACGTTCAGAGAACATTCAAAAATAGCATAATGTTTGCATGTTTGCTTAATGTTAATTTAACCAAGAAAAAAAAACTAATACTGAACAACTACCTTACTAACTATTATCAAACATTCTTAAAACATATTTATGCTAGCTGGGATACTGGCTACTGCTTTTAAAAACAGCCACGTAAGACATGTTCCTGGATCAACCTCTTCAAAAACATAGACCTAACCCTATCCCTACACTCTTAAAAATAAAGGTGCTTCACGATGCCATAGAAGAACCTTTTTTGACTAAATGGTTCCATAAAGAACCTTTAACATCTGAAGAACCTTTCTCTTTCACTAAAGCTTCGTTGTGGTGAAAGAAGGTTCTTCAGATTATAAAAAGGTGAGAAAGAGATGGTTCTTTAAAGAACCTTTGACTGAATGCTTCTTTGTGGAACCAAAAAGGGTTCTGCTATGGCATCGCTGTGAAGAACCTTTTAAGCACCTTTATTTTTAAGAGTGTACTCCTAAACCTACCCATAACTTATCCCTAAAATCAGAGGGAAATGATAGCTGAATAACAAAGGTTCAGAAGCATGTAACCCTGGTTGTAAGCCTAAAACTGTCATTTTCTTTAAATGGGCTGTATCCCTCAATTCCGATTGGTTGATTAGAATGTTGTACTTGGTGAAATCACGTTCACTCCAGCCACTGCTTACTGCATCCTACACAGCATTTACACAGTCTGTACTGTATACTGGCTACTACTTTTAAACAAAAGTGCTTGTTGTTGTGTGCCTTTAGGTTCTGCGGAATGATGTGATGTCCCATGTGCACACGGTAGACTCTCTGAACCAGGCCGGCAGAAACCTGATGGAGTCTGGGGCGGGAGACAGTTCACATGTCCTGCAGACTCGTCTGGAACAGCTGAACGAACGCTGGGAATTTGTGCGCTGTGAGACAGAGCGCAGACAGCTAGAGCTGGAAAATAACCTCAGTCAGGTGACCACAAACACCAGCAAATAAACCAGATTACAGAATTCATGAAAACAGAATGGTTTTAGTTGGACTCAGTCCCATTGTCTCATATGTTTGTTCCCCTTTTTCTAGAAAAAATGCTTAATCCTTAACCCTTGTGCTGTGCTGAAAATCCTTTACCTAATTTGGTGCTCAGTCAAAAATGACTGGCCTTTAAAAAATTACTTGTAAATTTCATATTATGCTATATTATTATCAATTCTTGGATTCAATCTTTTCCGCTACTTGTTTTCTTTCAGGTTTTGCATTTCTTTTTATGTGAGTGTGTATTATAAACTCAGCCCTTATAACTGGATTGCAGGTTCAGGACGTAACCATGGAGATCCAGGATCTCCTGCAGTGGCTGGAGCACACAGACCTGAGGCTGTCGTCCAGTAAGACCGTGTGGGGAATGCCAGACTCTGCCAACGAGAGACTGAACGCTCATTTGGTAATGAGCACTTGAATGCTGCATGCTGAACTTGGAGTCTTAACCCCGCAAACTGGGTTTATAAAACACTGAAGTCTCATTTCTGTATCTTGCATTGCAGGAGTTGTGTAATGAGATGGATTCTAAAATGCACGCTTACACAAATGTGCGCAACGCCATCCACAGGATGCTGGAGGGCAGTGAAGTGGCCCGGGGCTCCGGCACAGAGCATAGCTTATGCATACTGGAGCAGAAGTGGAGCACTGTCTACGCTAAAATGCAAGAAAGAAAGGTGATGACAGCATATTCTGCATAATTATAGCCATCTACAGGCTTACAACATAGTATCACATAAAGTTTTGAGAGTTTAATTTTCTTAAAAGGATTTTATACATATTATGTATATTACATATTATATATATATATATACGTATATAAAAAAATAGGTAACACTTTAGTTTAGGGACCAATTCACACTATTAACTAGTTGTTTATTAGCATGCATATTACTAGCATATTGGCTGTTTATTAGTACTTATAAAGCACATATTAATGCCTTATTCTGCATGACCATATTTTAGATCCTTTAATCCTTAAACCCCACACCTACACTTAACAACTACCTTACTAACTATTAATAAGCAGCTAATTAGGAGTTTATTGAGGCAAAATCATAGTTAATAGAATGGAATAGGGCCCCAAACTAAAGTGTGACCAACTTAAAAATTAGGATAACACTTTACAGTAAGGTCCCATTAGTTAACACTAGTTGATACATTAGCTAACATAAACTACAATGAGCAATACATTTGTTACAGCATTTATTCATCTTTGTTAACATTAGTTCCATTAGTTTTAGTTAAAAATACAACTGTTTATTGTTAGTTCATGCCAACTCAGGTCGAATAAATAATATTAAAAGGTATCACTTTTGATTTTAATAAAATATGAATAAATGTTGACATGAACATTTAATGAGATTAGTAAATGCTTTAGAAGTATTTTTCATTGTTAGTTCATGATAACTAATGAAGTTATCTAATGTTGACAAATGGAACCTTATTGTAAAATGTAACCAAAGTAATTAGAATGTGATGCACTCCAAAAGTGTGACTGTGTTGACATTAACATTTTAAAGTAAAATGATTAACACATTTTTCTACTGGCTAATCTTAAAAGAAACAAAATGCTTTTCCATCAAGGTGTTAAAAATCATTTTATGTTATGATATGGAATTGCTTGGAAATGGTGTGCAACATTTGTTGAAGTATTGAATGTGTATGTTTAGTATCATATATAGTATTAGTGTCATTGAGATGCTGTTGGAATTCGTTTTAATGTAATAATATAATTTTTAATTTTGTAATAAAAAGTAAAAAACAAAATGCAATTTTTTTCAATTAATTTTTTTTTATATGGCTATATAATTTTTATAATTTTTATTTGTATTTCAGTTATTTTTATTTAACAACTAAATGACAATGAGAAATGTTGCTTTGGCAACTAAGAATTTAAACAAATATATATTTTATTTTAGTTTTATTACAGTTAAAATAACTTAGATAGGTGTCGTATTCCCATAGGTAGATGGGGATCAGCTGAGAGTCAGCTGATGCGAGCTTGACTAACATGACCTGCCAGAACTAACGCTACGCTTGATTTGAGTGTGATTATTATATCTGAAAATAAATGGCATTGAATGTAATAGTTTTGTCATTCATTTTAACCACTTATATTATGTACCAAATGAGAGGGTTCTATGTATACACTGTGTATAGTTTACGCTTTACAGCATTAGTTGGGAGAATTTTTCCCCCTTAAGAAAACCCAACTCGGTATGTGTTATTGGCTATCATATTGGCTGAGAAATTTAGTATCGATGCATCTCTACCCTGATATAGCGGTATATATTGCAAGATATAAACTCAGTCAAATTGTCAGAATTGTAAGATATAAATTCAGAACTGCGAGACGTAAACTTGCAAATGTGAGAAAAGATATCAAAGCTGTGAGATAAAAAGTTGCAATAACGTTTTTATTTCTTATTCTTTGGCAAAAAAACAAAACAAAACAAAACAGAACTGAATTGCGAGATATAAACTCACAAAAAAAGTCTGAATTGTTCAATATTAAACTCTGAACTACAAGAAACAAAGTCCAAATTATGAGAAGCTCTGAATTAGGAGGAAAAAAGTCTGAATTGTGAGCGGAAAAAGGTTTCCATAAAAAATAATGGATGGATAAATTCTTATTTCTGATGATGGCGCCCATTAAAAGTTGCTGTAAAAACCCTCAGTAAAGTAAAACTTGACAATGGAGTATATAAGAAACAGTATAAACTACACTGGAAATTTCGCCACCGAAGCAGTCAGTTCAGTCGGTTCATTTATAAGGTGAATTTGTATGTTTTCAGGAGTTCCAGAAGCTGCTCCGCTCGAAGCGGCCCATGTACGAGGCCTGTCTGAAGAGAGGCCGCTCGCTGCAGGAGAAAGCCCAGAGTCCTGAAGACACACAGCACCTGGAGAACATGGTGTCTGAGCTCAGAGACTCATGGGACACCATCAGCGGCAAATCCAGCGAGAGGTGAGCTGACGGGAGCTCTGTAGTGCACTGTGAGTCTGTTTCTGAGCTCTAAACTCCGCTTTTCTGTCCCCAGGCAGCACAAGCTGGAAGAGGCTCTGCTGTTTTCAGGCAGATTCACTGACGCTCTGCTGGCTCTTAATGACTGGCTGTACAGAGCCGAGCCACAGCTGGCTGAAGATGTGCCTGTCTGTGGTGAAAAAGACCTGGTCAGCAATCTGATAGACAAGCACAAGGTACAGCAAGTCTCAGAGTAAAATTTCTCATTTTGCCAGCACGGGTCTCATATGAACTCAGTGTGTTATCGGTAGTCTATAGTCTGCTGTAGGTGAGCTCTGCTCCTCCTCTGATGCCCAGGTGTTCCAGCGGGAGCTCGGGAAGCGTGCCAGCTGTATCCGCACGCTGAAGCGCTCAGTCAGGGATCTGACGCGGAGCAGCACGGCCGATGCACACTGGCTGCAGGAGCAGATGGAGGAGCTGGAGGGCCGCTGGGAGGCCGTGTGTAAACTCTCTGTGTCCAGACAGAGTCGACTAGAGGCCGCGCTGCAACAGGTACCAGCACACGCCACTGATAATCATAGCACCTTCTTTCACAAACACGTATAGTTACATTTATGCATTTAGCTGACACTTTAATCCCAAGCACTTACATAACATCCAAGGTACTGTAGTGTTGTTACTGTTAACATGAATAAAACTGAATATTCAGTTAGTTGCAAAGGCAAAATGTTTTTTTTAGCTTATAAATGACTAATTACTAAAACTAAAACTGAAATCAAAATTAAAAGATATTTTAAAATGCAAAAACTAATAGAAATGGCTAAAATACACAAAAAAGTACTAAAGCTTAAAGCATAAAAACATTAATAAATATTGATGATTACAAAGTATAGTGATTCTAAAATAACACTGTACTGTACATTTTGATGGTGATGAACGTTTGTGAGGTACATTCAGACATATTTGATAATCCCAACATATTGCAAACTACAGGGGAAAAAAATGAAAACAAAACATAAAAATAAAAATAAATTCAAAAAAATATGAAGTTTGTCAATTCTGAAATATCACTGTACATTTTTTTACCATACACATTCACATTGTACATTCAGACATATTTGATAATCCCAACGTACTGCACCCTACAGCTAGTTGTGAAGACAGCATTTCTACTTTTCTTTTAGTACTAAAATTACCAAAACTAAAACTCAAATAAAAATGAATAAAATATATTCAAAAAAGCAAAAAAAAAAAAGGCTAAAACGCACACAAAAATTACTAGATTTAACTCAAATTAAAATGAAAACAAAATAAAAATGCAAAAAATTCAATTCAAAGTATAATAATACAAAAATAACACTATGTATTTTTTTTCCTTAATGGTGATGAAGGTTTGTGAGGTATATTCAGACATATTTGATAATCCCATCATATTGGTTCTCAGGCGGAAGAGTTCGATGGAATAGTTCACTCGTTCCTGGATCATCTTTGGGATGTTGAGAGGGTCCTGAAGTACGGCGTGCTGCCTGAGGAAGAGGAGGCTCTTCTGGCATTTCGTACCTGTCATCAGGTACGGCGGACATAGACTTGTTTATTACTCCAGAGATTGGTATCACATGAGTTTCATATTAATGTCTTTGTGATCTGCAGGAGTCGATGATTTCCTTGAACACTCAGCAGACGGCGCTCGAGAACATTCACACACTGGGCGAGGAGATTCTGTCCTCCTGTCATCCAGACTCTGTCATCACCATCAAATCATGGATCAGCATCACAAAGACTCGCTATGAAGAGGTGAGCCCAGTTAGACGATGATCTCTAGAGCTTAATCAGTTGAAATCTGTTGACAGTTGTGATTGGGCAAAACCATTGGGTTCTGGAAGTCTCATTCATTTTTCTATAAAGGTGTGATAGTTGAAGTGATGAAATATGGTTCTGTAAAACTGAAACAAAAATAAATATCTTGTTACGTAAATCAATAAGATGTTTATAACAGTACATCAGATAAATATCAGTCGCCACTCTATCTCCGATAATATGTCTTAGTAAGATGATATTTAAATGCTTAGTTCGATTATCAAAACATATAATGCAATGCAACACGATGATAATTGAGAAATGAACAAATAAACATTTCTCAAAAGCCTGATGATCATATTTGAGACACACAAAAAAAATCAAGGATAATCAAGTAAAGCTGAGCTGCTTTAGTCCAGTAAGTGTTCATTTTCAAATATTACTAACAATATCAATGTTCTTACATTTACTTTATAAAAATTTGTAAAGATTTGACCGCAAAAAGACACATGAAGCACGAGCTGAAGGCAGGCGTTTGTACAATTATACTAAAAGACCTTTGACTTGATGGTGTTTTGAGTTGATTAGCTGATTGGCATGTCACCATATTCTAATTTGTTGAGATTGGTGGGTTTTTGTTAAATGTGAGCCTAAATCATCACAATTAAAAGAACCAAAGACTTAAACCAGAGCACTTCTGGAAAAGCATTCTTTGGATGGCTGAAACAAAGACCAAGCTATACCAGAATGACAGGAAGAAAAAGTCTGGAGAAGGCTTGGAACAGCTCATGATCAGAGCACACACATCGTCTGTGAAGCATGGAGCAGTGTGATGCATGAGCTGCTTCAGTGCCTCTGGGTCACTGGTGTTTAGTGATGATGAGACAGAAGACAGAAGCAGCCGGATGAACTCTGAAGTGTGTAGAGATATACTCTCTGCCCAGATTCAGTCAAATGCAGCAAAGCTGATTGGACAGCGGTTCATAGTACAAATGAGCAATGACCCAAAACATACTGCTGAAGCAACCCAGGAGTTTTTGAAGGTTAAAAAGTGGATTATTCTGTGATGGCCGAGTCAATCTCCTGATCTCAACCCAATTGAGCAGCATTTCACTCGCTGAAGACAACACTAAAGACAGAAAGAGCCACAAACACACAACAACTGAGGTCAGCTGCAGTAAAGAAACCCAGTCTCTGCTGATGTCCATGAGCTCCAGACGTAAGGCAGTCAATGCCTGCAAAGGATTCTCAACACAATATCAAAAATTAACATTTTATTTATGATTATATTTATTTGTCCAATTACATTTGAGCCCCTGAAAATGGGGGGACTGTGTATAAAAACTGATGTAATTCCTAAGCACTTTATGTTGTATTTTTGTTTAACCCCTTGACTTAAAGCTTGAAGTCTGCACTTCAATTTAATCTTGACTGTTTCATTTTAATTGTATTCTGGTGGCATACAGAGCCGAAATGATGTGTATGTGTTCTATGTGTGATTTGATGGCTCAGGTCCAAACGTGGGCGAAGCAGCAGGCCGAGAGGATCCAGACCACACTGTCTGCTCTCGAGGCAGAGAGAGAGGAGATCCAGCGATTACTGGACTGGATCTCCTCCGCTGAAGAGTCTCTCAATCTGAAGGAGCAGGAGCTGCTGCCTGAAGACCTAGAGCTCTCTGCAGATCTCATCACTCAGCACGCGGTACTAACAGCCAATAACAATCTATTCACATTAAACAATTCTCTCCTCATTTACTCACTTATGTCATTTCAAACCTGTATGACTTACTTTCTTCTACTGAGAATTTTTTTTTTGATTCAGAATCGGTGTGATCCGCTGCTGTGATTATTGTGTGCATGTATTTGGCTGTAATCTCTGTGGATTGTATTCATGTATAGAGAGGAGAGGCACAGCGAAGCCCCTGCCGTCTGTTCCTCTTCCACTGGAGAAACTGGACCCTCAGACACCTGTGATGAGTCAGCTGGTGAGTCAATGGAGGACACTCTGGCTCCTGGCCCACGGCAGACAGAGCAGACTAGAGGAACATCTGCAGAGGCTGAAAGAGGTGATCATGACTGCGCTCTAGCTTTGAGAAAAGAATACGTTTGTGTTTGAATCCATGTGGTTGTCTAAGAACCGTCTCTTTGGCACATGCAGCTGGAGGAGTTTGCTAATTTTGACTTCAACATCTGGCGGAAAAGATACATGCAGTGGATAAGTCACCTCAAATCCCGGATACTGGATGTTTTTCGTAGCATTGATCGTGATCAGGATGGACGAATCACTCACAAGGAGTTCATCACCAGCGTTCTGGCCTCTAGTGAGCATTACAACTCTTGGTTGCTGATTTTTTGCATCATGTTGTTTGGGTGAATACCCATATGCAAAAATATGTGTACATGTATTACATTTCCATGTATGAAATTGTCATATGAATTAAAAACATATATGAAATTGTTCCAATTTCTAATACTTTTCATATATGAAATATACTATGTAATCTATAGATGTAATATATTTTACGATTTTTTTGTCCATCCTAAAGCCAGTCAATACAATTTGATATTATGAGTAAATATAAAAAATAGACATGTATTTACATATATGTATGTGTGTGTGTGTATATACAGTATATACAGTATATATTGTATATGAAGAGTTCATTTGCAAAAACAGATAACTCTTTTAACAATTTTCAAAAATCATGTTTTTTCATTGTGCATTCCAGTTAATCTGTCAAACTGCAGTTGGGTTATTTTGATTAGGTTAAAAAATAACTAAAAAATACAGCTAACTAACACAATAAAAACATGATAACATCATAAAAAACATGATTTTTGAAAATGTATCTGTTTATATATATATATATATATGCATACATATATTGCTGACATAGATCGTTGCATCAGATACTACTATATAAATATCCTCATATAGATATTATTAATATATGTACATGATTTAATATATGTTATAAGCATATCTTCATCCACCTAGAGAATATACATATGTGAATATTTCATATAGCCTTGTCGTATGGGTATATATGTAACTGTTTGCAATATTTGACTTTGTACAGAATTTCCCACCAACTCCCTGGAAATGACTGCGGTTGCTAACATATTTGATGTTAACGGTGATGGATTCATTGACTACTATGAATTTGTGAGTGCCCTCCATCCAAGCCGAGACCCTTACAGAAAGGCGATAGATGCAGACCAAATCAATGAGGAGGTGTGTGTAGCTCTGTTTTTATATTCTTCCCTGCATTGAGTATTTCTGTAAGACGACTAACACAAACCTCAATTCTGCAGGTGAGCCGTCAGGTCTCTCAATGCAACTGTCCAAAGAGATTTCAAGTAGAGCAAATAAGCGCAAATCGCTACAGGGTGAGTGAAAATCTATTCTCGGTACAAATAATGCATGTTTATACCTGATATCAACACCTGATCTTGGGAGATCAGATCACAATTCTAATGCGGTTCGACTGATATGAATGCAACACGGACCAAAGACGCAAATGTCACATGATTCGACCATAAAAAGGACAGCATGTACAAGCATATCTGGTTCTTGTGAATGCTAAACAAACCAGGGCTATGCTTCCCAAAAGCGTTGTAAGCCTAAGTACACTGTAAGATCTATTGCCACCAGTGGTCCGTAAGATCAACTTATCTCACAATGCTTTTGAGAAACGCAGCCCAGGACTAAATGGACTAAAACCAGAACCAACGAGTTTATACACAGCCTTTGAATGCTCAAATCAGATGTTAATGTAAATGGGGCAGCACAGCTATATATTCATGACTACACCCCTGATGATATTTCTGTGATTTTCACCAGTTTGGAGACTCTCAGCAGCTGCGGATGGTTCGTATTCTCAGAAGCACTCTGATGGTTCGAGTTGGTGGTGGATGGACAGCGTTAGATGAGTTTCTAGTGAAGAATGACCCCTGTAGAGGTGAATATCTCACACTTATTCAAAATCTGCTTATTGTAGATGAAATCAGAGGACAAACAATATGCTGACAGTTTGGAAGATCTTGCTATTTTCTGTGTAATATTATCTAATGGGTCATACTTTAGTTTAGGGACCAATTCTCACTATTACCTACAATTTTTGCCTCTAACTCCTAATTCTTGCTTATTAATAATACTTATTCAGCAAGGATGCATTTTTGTTATTTGTAGTGTCAGTAACAGTGTCGGGGGTAACGCATTACAAGTAACGCGAGTTACGTAATCAGATTACTTTTTTCAAGTAACTAGTAAAGTAACGCATTACTTTTTAAATTTACAAGAGAATATCTGAGTAACTTTTTCAAATACGTAATGCAAGTTACTTTTTTTCCCAATTTATTGATTGACAACTCTGGTGTTGCCATGGTGACAGAAATCAGGAGATGTTACTGTAGTTCTAAAATAAATATGAATATGCATTAATTCATCTCACTCATAAAAAAACACAGATTCAGTATTCTTCAAAATGAATAAAAGTAATGCAACTCAGAATAATAATAATAAATAATATTGAGAAGCGGTTCTACAAGACCAGATGAAACTTCTAATAAATTTAAAAGTAGCTTTCCCCAACACTGGTCAGTAAAGACTTTTATGCATCATTCCTTCTGCACACAGTAAAGGGACGCACGAATCTGAAGATAAAGGAGAAGTATCTCTCTCCGGACGCGTTCGAGGCTTCGGGCCGCAGAGGCAGCGCTAAAGGCCTGACCGTCAGCAGATCTAACTCCAGCCTGAGTTTATACAGCAGCGCTTCGGCTCCCAGCAGCCCGCTGACACGCAAGGTGCACCAGCTAACCGCTAACTAACCAACCGCATTCATACATACAGTACAAAACTGAGATGCTCTAATGTTTCTTGTGCCTGCGTGTCACTGCTCAGATTGATTTTTATAAAGTAACTCTGTTTTTGTGCTGATATAGGCATTGCTACGCAGAAGTTTCTCTGGTGAGAGGTGCATTCGACCCAGGAGCTCTATTGCAGCATTAGGGATCGACATCGACTCACCTTCACCTACAGGTTAAACTCACCGCTCTGCTGCAGTCTGCATTTACCATATTTTGTCTTGTTTTCACTTAAAAATGTCTAGATGTAAAATGTTATGGCTCGTTTTAGGAAAAAAGAAAAAGAAAAATTGTATTACTGTATTGTACTGTACGGTGCTGCACTGTACTGAATTAAAAATACAGTAATATTGTGAAATATCACTGTTTTCTATGTGAATATACTGTAAACTGTAATGTATTTCTGTGATGTGCAGCTGTATTTTCAGCATCATTACTCCAGTCTTCAGTGTCACATGATCTTCAGAAATCAGTATAATATGATGATTTGCTGCTCAAGAAACATTTCTGATTATTATCAATGTTGAAAACAGTTGTGCTGCTTCATATTTTTGTGGAGACTGCGATTCATTTTATTTTTTCATGATTCTTTGATGAATAGAAAGTTCAAAATAACTGCATTTATTTTATCATTATTTCATCCTTAAATCTCTCTTTTTTTTTTTTTATAAATACAAAAAACCTCTTACTCATCCTATACTTTTGGGGAAAAAAGTCAATCGTGTGCACAATTTACTAATTCATTCCCTCGATTTAAGTAGATCATGCACACTAAATAATAATCCGTTCCACTTTCTCATAAACCTGTTGCTGCCGTTATGTTATGTTATTGACAGAGACACTTTAATTTGGGTTTTATTTTGAGTTGGGAATGAGTTATACACATTCTCAAAAGCCTTGCAGCATTGCATGGAATCAAGTGAGAGGCATCTACATCGATTTATGAGAATGCGGACAGTAGAATGGATTATTTCGTGCACAGTTTACTTAAAACGAGGGAATAAATTAGTAAATCGAGCGAACGGATTAGAAAATTTAATTTGAATAAATTGAATTGAATTGAATGTCATGTGCGGGGCTCCGTACTTTTAAATATTAGTGTACTGAAAAACAATTCCGAGTCCTATTTTCACTGTCTAAATGCTATTTTAAAGTTACATTTCATGACTTGGGTCGAGTCCCAGGAGATTATTAGCACATTGAGTTATTTTGTGGTTTGTTTTCTTCAGAAGAGGCAGAAAGACCGCCAACATGACCACATCTTGTCCCATACCACGAGCTCAACCAGGCAGGCGTTCCTGATCCGCAGGATGGACAGAAAACCACCCCAGCAGGCCTCAGATCAGTGGGCACGCTCAGACAGTTCACTCAGCACAGCTCTCACGGCTGGTCACTAGTGCTCTGAGGTGTGTTACACCATCTGTTTCATAGCATAACATTGACTTTTTACCTTCACAGACTTTGTTTTTACAAAACGGACTCCCTGCTTTGTGTGTAACGAGAGACTGCTGGAATGTTTTGCATGGGTTCGAGCAGCACGATGCCTGTAGTATCAAAGAGCAATAGCTTATGTAGTGCTTTACACAGCATATATGCACAGATGTCTTTATTTTCTATTGTTGCCTGATGTAGGGACAAATGTTCAATCTGACCCTGCATCCTCAAGAGTAAAGCCACTGCCTTTGTATCAGTTTCTCCCCACAGTTAGTGATGCAAAATACACACCAAAATACTGCTGTTTTATGGTTTAGGCTTTATGATAAGCTGAGCTTTTGGGGTCCATGTTATTGTTTTGTGAAAGTGTGGCTATTATATCCTCAGGTCTGAAGTGCTTGAATATTTCAGGGTCTAGTGTATGAATTTAAAGACCACATGAAATACACCACCTGCCACCATTAGCAAATAGTAAATACTGGTTAACGGTGGTAAATGAGCCCAAGAAATACATGACTATGCCTACATTTCTTGAAATGTGTAAATAGCAAAACCAGAAATACATTGTTCCAGGTACATTTTAGTGCACTTTTCACATGACATGTCTACAAGAGGCGCTATAAGCTATATAATTTTTACCCCATTGCAGATTCAGATTTATTAAACGGCACAGTGTCATGAAAAAAGAAAAGAAAACGTGCCTGTGGATGTAAAATGGTTGCAAAAAGTGTTGGTTATAGCACATTTCATGGCAGTCTCAAATCGAAAGGTCTAGTCTCTGATGCTAAATGGCATGTTCAAATGTCTCCAAACCACAGTTAAATGTGACTATTAGTTAAATTAGTTGTTGGTACATATTGTGGCTTTTCATCAATTAAATCTAACCTATATTGTTTACAAAAGCAAATGTGAGATAAAAACACATTTGCTGAAACAAGCATGCCATTTTAGCTTGCTAATTGCAAGTGCAGTGCTTTACCAGGTGCACTAACGAGCAAGTTTACTGCGTCGGAAATGCCACACATATGGAGCCGATTATGTAATGCAAATGACAAAATGTATTCGTTTACAAAAAATGCACTATGGTAAAATTACTCTGTATTCATAACAGAGTATTGTGCAAGACAACATGCAAAAATAAGCATGTATTCATCAAGAATCTGCCCCGTAAACATAATTTGTGTGAAAAGGAACAAAAGTTGTTGTCGTTTACTGCCTCTAGTGTTCATTTCATCTGGAAACCACCGTCAAATGCAGTTACCAACTCAGCTTAAGATAAATACAATCACAAACTTGGACGAACAAGTCAACATAGAAAGTAGAAAGTCATTTCATGAGGTCTTTAAATACTTTGAGTCTGTTTAGGGATGTTCTTTAGCAGTGCGTTTACTGTATGCCTCCCTAATTTTACACCTCAGTGTTTGTAAACTGTATATTAGTGTAATTTCCAGTATATAGACATATATCTATAGAATATTTGTTTTGTTTCTTATTTGATTTTGAACAATCATGCCACCGGTTGTAATAACTACCTTTGAGGATTTGAAAGTGTAGGTCTCAATGAGATTAGCTAGCTGAAATAATACTCATCACAAATGCTCCTTTATCAGCACCAGCTGTGATTTTTGACTTTTATTTGAGCCAAACAAATCAACATTGATATGGCCTGCTTTTTTCAGTGTCTGCTGTATTCATTTTTTGCCTTAAACCTATTTGTGAATGTCGTGGGTTGAATTCTTATACCATTGTACCAAGCGTTATGGATGTAGCATTTGATTCGAATTACATATCAAATATGTGTGTGTTTTAATTTTGTGCATATGCGATTCGGTTCTCTTAATTTTGAGTTGAAATGGGTTTTGAGGGTTCAGGATTGCAGCATTTGAGTTTTTTTTCTTAGCAGGCATACTTTGCTTTAGCTTTTTGCTTTGCTCTACTCTGTTCCATCTGAGAATCATCAAATGAAGGCATTAATAATAAAACATTTGGCCAAAAATATGGCACATATATTTGCATATTGAGGTGGTCAGTGCTACTGAATGTGATTGAATGGATTGCGATGATTGTCTTATTGCCCGGCAAGAAATAATAATGTCTGGCAGTGATTGATTATCTATGCAAAATCCATTTGACACTCAAAATCCACTTCTGTGATTATTCATCACCTTATAAATGCTGGTTTATATAATCCATTTCTGGACAGAGATCCTCTTCTGCTATGCACCTGCTATTATTGTACTGTAAATCTCTGATGCTGTAAATAATGCTATGTTCAGTAGCATTATTGCTTATTTACTGAACGTTTCTGATCTTGTAAAATAGGGTTACATATCGATGATTGTCTTATTGCCCGGCAAGAAATAATAATGTCTGGCAGTGATTGATTATCTATGCAAAATCCATTTGACACTCAAAATCCATTTCACTTCTGTGATTATTCATCTCCTTATAAATGCTGGTTTATATAATCCATTTCTGGAAAGAGATCCTCTTCTGCTATGCACCTGCTATTGTTGTACTGTAAATCTCTGATGCTGTAAATAATGCTATGTTCAGTAGCATTATTGCTTATTTACTGAACGTTTCTGATCTTGTAAAATAGGGTTACATAGAATTTGTGATCAGCGCTGAATTACTTTTAGGGCCTAGTTGTGGAATGACGCTAATCATAACATTTCTTGTAATTATAAATCTGTTCAAATAAAAGGTTTCATAGAAAGCTGTGTATAAAATGGTCTATAAACTGCTTTGTGCATTTTTGCAAAATTCAGCTCTAAGAAAAGACCCAGGCTGATGTGGTAATACGAAGGAGTTTTCCATATCGATTTTGCACAACTGTTTTTGCCCGTTTTAGAATTACACATTTCATGTTGTGTTTTGACGTTAAAGGAAATGTGCTTAAACTTAACAGATTACATTTATTTTCTTATGATGTGGGACACCAAATACTATGACAAATCATTTGGCAGAAAGAGGAGCAAACAGGAATTTGATTAAGTACATGAATACACTGAGTTTTGTTCATTTTAAATAAAACTAAGAAAACTAAGTGAAATTGGAAGGTTAAAAGAAATGCCTAATGTTCCTGTCCAGTTCATTACGATATTTAAGGAAAACATTTTAATGTTTTTTTAACTGTAAAAGACTCAAAAATGCTGCCGTAAAACCCTGCTTAAGTGGTAGGTGGTAGGTTTCCTTAAAGGGATAGTTCACCCCAAAATGAAAATGTGATGTTTATCTGCTTACCCTGCAGGGCATCCGAGATGTAGGTGACTTTGTTTCTTCAGTAGAACACAAATTATGATTTTTAACTCCAGCCGTTGCAGTCTGTCAGTCGTATAATGCATGGCAATGGTAACAAAATCTATGAGAGTAAAAAAAACATGCACAGACAAATCCAAATGAAACCCTGCGGCTCGTGACGACACACTGATGTCCTAAGACACGAAACGATCGGTTTGTGCGAGAAACCGAACAGTATTTATATAATATTTTACCTCTAATACACCACTATGTCCAACTGTCTTTGAGCGTGCGCACGGCATCCGGTGCGTGAGGTGTGTACGCGCTCTGGCGTAGTTTACGTTAATGGCTGTGTTGATATCCAGCCGAAGAGCAATCAAGCATAACTTCAGGCGAGCAGGCTCAGAAGTTGGGAATACGTGGAAAGTCACCACTCCCGAATGAGTTCGCGCGAGAGAACGTAATCTTTTAGTTTTAAGTCGGTTTGAACAATCTGGATAAGCGCAAGTAAGTACCATTTTGATTAGCCGTCATACCTACAATGACTGTGCACTGTGTGAACAATGAGTGACGTATACGCGCGAGAGATCACTTCCGGCGCTCGCGTAAACTACGCCAGAGCGCGTACACACCTCACGCACATATATATACAGTATGTGTGTGTGTATATGGTGAAAAATTGTAAGACAGAATTTTACTGTAATTTTTTTTTACATTAAATGTGTTATATTTACAGTTTTTGGAAGTGAAAAAGAACAAGCCGTCTTTTAATTTACAGTAGAAAAAACTGCAAACTGACATTCCCAGAATTCCCTGTGTGACAGCTCACATTTAATGTTTTTTAATTGAAATTACTGTTTCTTAATTATTTGTTATCAGATGTGCGCATTCGGGTTTTGTGTTACGTCTTGTTAAATAAATGAATGTTCATTGCATTATTTATTTGAGTGTTTTGATGGTGTTTTGTTTGTTAGAGTTAGGCTTCTATATATTAGTTTTTATCTCAGCTTTTGGAAAAGCTACTCGTGATGAGTTTTGATTAATCGTGTGTTTTTCTCTTTGCAACCTGTGTTTTTAAGGTGATTGTCGGTACATTATAAAGGTAAAAACAGATTTTAATATCATTGTAGCCTTGATAATTCAGCAGAAATTTTCACTTTTTTTGTCATTTACAATATTAAACTGTGAAATGTACAGTTTGTGTAAATATGTTTACACAGCTGCCAATTGTTTTTTTCTGATATGACAGGATATTTTTACAGTATGGCATTGTAAAACTTACACTACAAAGTTGCTCATAATATGTGCTAATTCTGCTGTGTCTCACACCGGACTGTTTTAGGTTTTTTGGGAATTGTTTCTTCTGAAATTATCTTCTCCAGCCTCAACATTCTTTGTGTGCTTACAAACTCCAAACACTGTGGGCTATGACTGATTCACACGCCATGCCGTTCAAGGATATTAGAAATGCTGACAGCTCTCACTGCGAGGCCTTGGAGGAGCAGATCTTAACAAGTGACCATGGAGCTGGACTCTTGGCTGAGAAGTAAAGAAAGAGTTCAAAGAACTTTTCAAATAAATCATTCACAGGAATTTACTTGACAACATGCAGTGCATAAAACCTTGAAAAGAGAAACACCTAAAAATCTTTAATCTAACAGCCTTTGCACACAATGACAGTTCAGAGCGACCACTTCCGTCAGGCTCCAGAAACACCATTAAAATATCATATGACTAGTTCCATGTCTTCCTATGTCATATGATAGCTCTGTGTCATGACTATGTTTCTACACACACTGAAGTACACCTTTTCAAAAATTGTAATAATGTCAAATTAAAGGTTTTACTATAAAGTACATTTTAAAACCTTTTCGTTTTATTAATCTTTTGTCATGTTTTAAAGAATACACTTATTTTGATGTGTTGACTAACATACTAAAGCACATGAAGTACTTGATTATAATTTTAACTGTGTTATTCAATATTATATTTAATGTTAATATATATTAAATGCACTAAATTACAACTTTATCTTTACAAGTGCGTCATTGTAAATATATTTAAATACATACAAGTTTCAATAGAAATAAAATGTAAGTATATTTTAGTTTATCATAAATGCTTGTCAGTACATTCAGCAATAGCACTTAAGCATATCAATAAACAATAGAAGTAATTATGAAATTACATATAAAGATGTACTTAGGTCCTACTTAAGTGGGTCAAGAATCACTCTTAAGTTCAGCTATTTTAATATAAAATTAAGCTATAATTCATTTATATTTAATTGTAAATAACATGCAATTAAGTGTCTAAAAACATGCATTCAGTTCACATTAGGTATATAAGTGCAGTTCACATAAGTGCTCTTTCTAAAAGCATGTACTTCTTTTTCATAAGGGGTGTTTTTTTCCCACTTTGGAGCTTGATAGACATGGTTACTATGATCTGTTGTATTAAAAGGTTTGCTTTGAGAGTTGACAGAAAGTTATGAGTTTGGGACGACATGAGGGGAGTAAACGATGAGCTTCATACTGAGTGAACTATTCCTTTAAGCTAAACTTTTCTTTGGTCATTGTGGACTCATTGTTGCACAAAAAGGGCTCAACCCTGCCTCTTGAAATCACACGCCTCTCTCTGCAGTCTCCTCATGGAGAAGATCAACGCTTCCTCCTGTGTGCGCTGCTGTACTCCTCATCTCTCTCAAAGTCTCCAGTCATCCAGAGCGCTGACTGTCAACATCTTATACCCTGAAGAACATACCAGGTGAGTAAACAAGCATCATGAAAACAATGATGGGAGGATTTCAGCTTCCTTATGCAAGTCTGATAAGTTTTACATTAGTGTTGCTAGAAAATTCTGAGAAAATCTCTGGCACATTGCCGGATACTTTGTACAGAGAAACAATGTGCTAAGTTACGTCATTATGTTTATTCAGTTACTATTATTCAGACAAATCTAGTGAACGTCATTTGCAAAATATGTACGACGTTGCTAAAAAAGAACATTATTTTGTGTATTTGGTGTAATGAAATGTGTTTATGCGGTTTAAGGTTAAAAAAAAAACATTATTTTCCACATACGGTACATTATTGTTTCTCCTCTATGCCCCGCCTTTCTGAAACACATCGATTTTTACAAAGCTCACTGATCTGAAAAGCGAGGTGTGCTCTGATTGGCCAGCTATCCAGTGCGTTGTGATTGGCCGAATACCTCAAGCGTGAGACGGAAATGTTACGCCCCTCACCATACTGTGATGCCCTGTCCGGCCGGAGCGACGAGACA